GAGTGAGACCTGAAATACTGTTTGCAGTCATCGTCATCCTCTTAGCAGTGGCGGTAATTGCTGCCTTGGCGCCACAGAACCATCGTCAATTCGAGGTTAAAAATAGAGACACAACAACAATGGACAGTGTGCCAGGGCAAAAGGGAATGACAACAAGTGGCAGCAGAGAAGCAACAATAACAACGGCAGAAGTAGAGGTAGTAGTAGTAGGCAAAACAGCAAGACAGGACGACAGGAAATGAGCAGTCATTGCGAGAGTCAGAAACGAGCGACTGCTGCAACCAACCTCAAAGCAGCTCAGTGCGGCACTTCAGAATCATCGCTCGTGTCCAGCCTCTGACCAAGAGAAGTCTGAGTAGTGGCTGCAACACAGCAGTAGCAGCGGCAACAGCAATCAGTCATCTCGAACGGACTAACTAAATTAAGCCAAGGAGCAGAGACAAGCGCAATAATTGCAGCACTTACGTGCCGCCGCTGCTGTTTGTCAGACAGAGTCTGGAGAAGATGGAGATGGAGTAGGCAAGTCGAGAAGAACAATCACAGCTTGAGCCCAGATAAGCACTAGCCATTTGAATTATCGTCCCTTCATCGACGGCGGGCGCCATTCACAGTCTCATTACGAGCTGCGGCACTATCACTCGGCGCAGTGTCTTTGTTTCAGAGACACTCCAAGGCTGCTCGTCCTCGCTCTCGCACCACCGACGGCCTCCTTTGCTGACACACTCCTGCGTAGTCGTTGCCGCAACAACAACAGCAGCAGCAACAGCAGTAGCTTCTGCCAAATGTCCACTCTTGGTGTGCTTTCTGATGGCGATGGTGACCTGTTGAAGAATAATGCTGGTGATGGTGGTCCTGGTCGTAATGACCGGTGGTGGACAGTTGTGAGGTGTAGAAAAGAAGTCACTCAGACGAACTTGGCCACTGTCGTTGTGACGCCTTTGCTGAACGACCTGGCGTGTCAGACTGCCTGTCTGTCTGTGTGTCTGACTTTACTGTGTGCACAGAGCATTCAATCTAAAGCAGTGGTCATTTTTCGCTGAAGTGGTAATCATCGAGATGTGCCTGTGTGTGTGCCTGCGTCCTCTGTGTCCAATGTGCTAATGACAGAGCACTCTCTGCACAGTCCAAACCAAGTGTCTCATTGTCGCCAAAAATACACTGACACAGACAGACTGACTGAGCGAGCAGGCGAAAGAGAGGGAGACATTCACACACAGAAACAAAGTGCCCTTACCTCAAGGTTGCGCGTGTACTCCTCATTTATCTGTTCATTGGTGCGAGTGAGCTCTTCGTTGCGATCGAGCAGCGCCTTGCCCAGCTCCGCCGCTAACACGAGATCCTTTTCCTTTTGGGCCAGTTGCCCCAGAAGGTGCTGGGTGTCGTAGGTGGGGTAGTGGTGGTGGCTGCCATTCGGTTGGCCATTCTGTTTCCCACTGTGGTGCCCATTCNTGACTGACTGAGCGAACAGGCGAAAGAGAGGGAGACATTCACACACAGAAACAAAGTGCCCTTACCTCAAGGTTGCGCGTGTACTCCTCGTTTATCTGTTCATTGGTGCGAGTGAGCTCTTCGTTGCGATCGAGCAGCGCCTTGCCTAGCTCCGCCGCTAGCACGAGATCCTTTTCCTTTTGGGCCAGTTGCCCCAGAAGGTGCTGGGTGTCGTAGGTGGGGTAGTGGTGGTGGCTGCCATTCGGTTGGCCATTCTGTTTCCCACTGTGGTGCCCATTCGTCTGACTAGAATCACGGGTGCCGTTGAGGTAGGCGGAGGTGGAGGAGGAAGATGAGGAGGGAACTTCGAGATCGCCATTCGGGTAGTGGGCACTGCCGTTGAGGTGGGGGTAGTGGTTGCTGTCGCCCATCTCCTCATTGCGCTGCTTGAGCTCGTAGATGAAGTCATCCAGGCTGACCTTGCCGTTGTTCTTTGCACTGGAGGTTGCTGCTGCTGCTGAGGAGGAGGATGAGGTGCCATAGTCGTAGTGAGTGGAAGTGTGGGCCAGCTGATCGTAGTCCTGCATTGACCGATGATTTGTCGACATTGCAGGACACAATGGGCTTCAAGAGGAGGCACATGCCAAGTGGATCGTCAGATGACGTGGGGAAATCTTCATGTGCGTCTCTTCTCCGATGTCGTGGTCGTGTGGGCGATTGTGATAATGAACGGTTAGCTGAGCAGTGGGCTGAAGGGATGATCAGTCAGTGAAATCAGTCAGTCGGAGATGGTTGATGCGTCGAAGATGATAATGGCTACCTGATAGCTGGCTGAATGGATGGCTGACGGACTCGCCGATTACTGGATCGATAAGAGGATAAGGTGATGAAGAGGTTCACACACGTGACAGCCACTTGTGGCGGTGGCTGCGGCGTGCACACGAGACGAACTGTAGACGAGTCGGCCGCAGCAGACAGTCAGTCTGAAGATCGGAAGAGGCGCTGAGGAGGAGAGGAGAGAGTGCAAAGTGCAGACACTGCGATCTAATCACCTCGCTGAGGGCAGGCATAATGACAGCAACAGTGCCCTCAATGAAACAATCACACTCGGACACTGGACACGACACTGAGCTGCTGAGTCGGGCGACAGTCGGCTAAAATGCCAATTCATTGACAAGCTCCAACAGCAGCAGCAGAAAAGTCTTGGTCTTGGTGCAGGCTGACAGTCTGCTAGCCAGCCAATCGCACAAACACACACAGGTAGACAGTTTGTGGTAAGTGTTTGATTGCAAGTCAAGTTGCAACATGTAAAATTGGACAGACAATCGACGATGGAGACGGCAGAGGCGAAGAAGGAAGAACAGACGAAGTGGGGAATACGCAGGCAAAACAGCAGTCGCTGAGCGGATTGAATGGATCGCCTTTGTCAAGGCAACTGTCGATATGTGATCCAGCACAGGTAAGGCTGCTTCAGGTGGACAGTGCCGTCCTGTGGACATCAAGTGAGGACACTGGCGGACACAAATCACCGAGCGAGACTTGCCATTAAGTGTTTACTTTGCGCCATTATGGCCAACTAATGACCGATCTGTTCGACGAGTAATGGCACCGACTGCATCGTCAGCGTCGGCGTCAGCCGCGTCGGCAGGTAATCAACTTTGCGAATTAGAGAGAATTGGAACGGTTCACTGGCAGAGTGGCCACCACAGAGAGAACGTCTCTGCTGCTTCCCATAATGATGATAATGGCCACTGTTCGCGCGTTGTGGCGACGGCGGCGGTGATGCTGCTGTCGTTAAACTCCAAAACGGTGTCTCGTGCGTGAGTGTATTTGTCGCCGGTTGTTGTTGTTGCTGGTGGCGGTGGTGGTGGTGATGGCAGTGATGGTGATGGTGGTGAATGATGATCACAGTGGCCGAAGATGACGAAGACGAAAGGAACTAAGAAGAGAGGATGACGATGCGGGCGCAGTGGCTGTCAGTGCGAGACTGCCACTGGATGACACAAGAGTACGACAACGACGACGACAACAACAACAGCTAAGTGATATGCACTACGGAGGTTGATGGTAATGTTAGTGAAGACACAAAAACACCGCGGATGAAAAGACACCACTCTTCTTGGTCAGCACTGCTGATCGTCCTGGAAGTGGTGCCCTGATGGCCGGACGGAAAGCAGCACCGGCGGCGGCAACTTCAGTCACAATTGTGCCAACAATTGTCACAGCAGCGATGACAAGAGCGATGGTGCGGAGACTCGTCGTCGACGAACACTGCCTCAAACACTGAATCTATTAGAGGACTGATGAAGAAAGCGATGATGGTGGTGTTGATTGGTGATTGGCAATGCAGTGCGACAGCACTTGTACTGCTGATGTTGCCAGTTTTCGTCTGGTTGCAACTTAGAGCGCTGCACACCGTGCGATCAATGGGCAGTGACAGTGGCGCAGGCAATTAGGCGAGCACTAATTGGCGCTCACTGGCATGAAGCACACTGTCACCGGCAGTGACAATGGGTAAATGCGCCGTGTCGGTTGTCGGATCGCAGGCAACGGTGGCACAGCACACAATAATATACACACACTGGTTTCTCACAAGATGACCGTACTTCTTTAGTCCCTACCAATTGGGTAGTGGTAGTAGATTGGGTAGCAGTGTTGCTGGGGATGTGTTTGCTGGTGCGATTTCTGCGGTTACCTCAACAAATACAGAAGCGTCACCGGGGAAACTGACTGGGAAAAGACTGGTCACACACACACAAACTCACCGCACAGGTAGACAGTGAAAGTGAGCGAGTGAAATTTCACGCCAGCACATGTACTGCTTGCTGCACTGTGCTTCAGCAGTGGTCACAAAGTTGCCGTGTGGCCGTACGCCGTGGTGACTGAAGCTACACTGACTGACTGACAAGACGAACACAGAGAGCGAGTGAGAGCACTTCTGACAGGCCAAGTGTTTACCACCACCACTGCTGCGCGCTAGAGAACATATGTGCACTGCGGAGAGAGGCACAGAAGGGCAATGGGATAATATCGTTCGCAGGAAAAAAACAGGTCAGGTAGAAGAGAGCGAAAGAGGGATACACACTGACTTGGCCGTGAGGCGAGACGCCATGGAAGAACACTGAAACGCTGAATGCTGCTTAAAATGAAACACACTCACTCACACCTGCCTTCCTGGAACAGAGTGCACAGGAGAGGACTGAAGGGGACCAGGTGATCGACAGACGGCGGGGCGGTTGGCCACCAGTTGGCAAGTCGTCTGCAGTCCGGTGTAGTCAAGTCGTGTGCTGATGCCAATTTATGGTACCATCGACAAATAAACACATTCATACTCACTGCATTTTGACTGACTCACCGTCGGTGATGCCAAGTTACGCTTCGTTGATTTATCGTGCCAGACAATGGTAATGAAATGGCAGTGCTCTCTTATGTCCTCCTATCAAAGGCATCAAATGCCATTGCCATTTATGACTGAGGGTTCTGTCAATAATAGGCGACACTGTGATAAGGCAACCCAATTGATCGTCGCCCACTTCTAGAAAAGCAGGTTGCTGTGCGCTTGATTGACATGCTCCGCAAAAAAGGTGCATTTTTGAAAATGGCGCTTTGAGTGAGGCTGATTGAAAAGTTGCATTGCGCGTAACAGCATCTTTGAAGGGTACACATTTTTGGAAAGTGGCTAAGGATCACATGTTGTGATGAGCCATTTTTCTGCCTGCGGATTCTAGCACCCGGTCTCGGTGACAGTTGGCCTCGGAACTTTACTGTGTCAATTCTTTCTGTCAAAAGGCGGTGACCACTCGCTAGTTAGTTTTGCATCTTTCTCTACTTGACTTACATTTGATCTCAGTTTTTTAGCATTCAAAATCTCAAATATCTGTAAAAATCCATTTTTATAACAAGTTTTTTCATCCTAATCACCGAGAACAATGGAATCTGATGAAGCTCTCACCTATAAACTGTGGCGCATCCGAAAGACGGTGATGCAGCTGTGTCATGATCGCGGCTACCTGGTGTCACAGGAGGAAATTGACCAAAGCTTTGACTTCTTCAAGCAGACGTATGGAGACAGACCCAGCGAAGGCCACCCAGTCAGAAGCGACTTGATTGTCCTGGTCGCCCACATTGATGATCCTACAGGTAAAGTTTGCAATTTTATACTTTTCAGTTTCAGTAAAAAAACTCTTGCTTACAGATCAAATGTTTGTCTTCTTTCCCGATGAGCCCAAAATTGGCATCAAGACGGTGAAAAACTACTGTCAGAGAATGCAAGAGGAGAACATCTCCCGTGCAATCATTGTAGTTCAGCAGGGAATGACCCCCTCGGCAAAGCAAGCACTCGTTGATATGGCGCCCAAGTACATTCTGGAACAGTTTCTCGAGTCTGAACTGCTGATTAACATTACCGAGCACGAGCTTGTCCCAGAGCACGTTCTTCTGACGCCTGAAGAGAAGGCCGAATTGTTGGCTCGCTACAAGCTGAAGGAAAGTCAGTTGATGCGAATTCAGGCTAGTGACCCTGTGGCTCGATATTTTGGTCTAAAGCGAGGACATGTGGTCAAAATTGTGCGCCCATCTGAAACTGCCGGACGGTACATTTCCTACAGACTTGTAGTTTAAAAGGCTCATTTTTGACCACCATCAAATTGTAAATACTGAACCAAACTCATCTTTTATTATCTACAGTGAACGTTTTCCAAATAAACAATAATTAGCAAAATTAACGAAATTATAAAAATCCAAGTCGACGGTTCAAACTGCGGTACTTTTTCATGCTGTTGATAGCGCCGGTGGCAACATCTTCGGCCGTTTTAGTCTGCCCGTAGTAGTCGACCAGTTTTCCATCAGGGTCAATTAGGTAGGTGATGATGGTGTGATCGACGATGTAGTCATTCTCGTGATCACGAGGACCAGCAGAGTAGTAGACGCGATACGATCGAGTCGCCTGGTTCACTTGCTCTTGCGTTCCAGTGAGGCCAATCAGTTTGGGAGAGAACTCTGCAATGTACTCGCGGACTGCCTTCACATCGTCTCGTTCAGGGTCAACGGTGATGAAAACGGACTGAATTGGATCGGCCTCCTTGTTCGCGGAGATGATGTCGACGGCTTTGCAAAGCTTCTCCAGTTCATCAGGGCAAATATCGGGGCAATGGGTAAAGCCAAAGTACAGCAAGACCCACTTACCTTCGAGGTCAGATGAAGTGAACTTTTTGCCATTCTGGTCCACCAGCTCAAACTTTCCGCCGATTGATGCTTCGCCCAATGCTTTTTTGCGCTGTTTTTCAAGCTTTTTCATTTTCTCTTCCTTCAGGTAGAGCATTGTGCCCGCAAATATGGAAAGCAAAACACCCGATACGAGAAAGGACTTCCATGAAAAATATATTCTCGAACTCTTTGTCGCCAAAGACGCAATTCGCACCGTTGTTGAGGGAACTGGAACTTTTAGAAGGGAACCTTTTAAAGTCCAAATTGGGGCCTTATTCAACTGAAGAGGGTGGCTGGTGCTGTACAGCAAAACTTGGGCATTTTGTTGTTTTCCGTTTGAGAAAACATTTGCTCTCCGAGGCAAGATAAACAAACGTTGGCAATGACACCGGAGAAGATTCATTTTGTTGACCTGTGTTGTCCAGTGGGGCCCTTTCAATGGGAAATCAGGTCAAAGGGCAAATGAAAAACATGAAATTGATACCGGTGAATTCTGTTCCAGAGAAAATCAGTTATTGCATTGCATCAGTGTGCTTCGAAAGGATCGAAATAGCTGCACTGCTGTCACGTGTTTTGCACATTTTGACAATTTTTGTGATTCTTTAGCTTTATTTTGGTTCATTTGCAACACGTGTAGGCGATAATTATCAATTTCTCAACTCTGGTACTGCAAATCAGCCCAAAGATGAGCTCATCAGGAGGCACCGCACTGGTGCAGTTCAAGTCAGAGACTGGTGAATCCTTTGGAACTCAACTAGAAGTGCCGATCGACATCACTCCCGACAAACTCCAGCTCATCTGTAATACCATCCAAGAAAAGGAGACCAACTTGCCATACCTCTTCTTCTTAAACGATGTGGAGATAAAGTCCTCACTAGAGGAGACTGTAAGCTCTTTTGCTAAGGGCACCGTCCAGCTGGAAAAGTGCCTGGACGTGGTCTGTGCACCTCAGGCCATCTTCCACGTTGAATCAGTGACGAGATGCAGTGGCTCCATTGCTGGGCACACTGACGCCATCGTTTCGGTGGCCTTCAATCCGGAAGGTTCTCTTCTCGCCTCGGGCTCAGGTGACACTACAGTCCGCTTTTGGGACATTCACACGGAGACGCCCTTCAAGACTTGTAGCGCACACAAGCACTGGGTGCTGGCCATCGCCTGGTCACCTGATGGCACCAGGCTTGCTTCGGCAGACAAAAATGGAATAGTTCACGTCTGGAAGACCAGCACTGGAGAGCAAATCGGGACGCTTAAAGGCCACAAACAGTGGGTCAACTGCTTATCTTGGGAGCCATTCCACAGGTAAGGCGCTTGGTTGTGTTTTGCCCATTACTTTTTTAACTTTTCATTTTCTTGTAGTGATGTGAACTGTCGTCGAGTGGCCAGTGCCTCCAAAGATGCTTCAGTGCGCATCTGGGACGCGGTTCTTCAGAAGGTCGAATTCGTTCTCAATGGCCACACCCAGAGTGTGTCCTGCGTCAAGTGGGGTGGTGCCGGTCTCATCTACACTGCTTCGCACGATCGGACAATCAAAGTCTGGAGAGGTTCGGATGTGAGTACACACTTTCCACTAGATGACTGATGAAAACATTTGATGATTTATTTCATTTTTTTATAATGTCCTTAGGGCGTTTTGTGTCGCACTCTGGAGGGCCACGCTCACTGGGTAAACACCCTGGCCCTGTCCACTGAATACATTCTCCGCATTGGCGTCTACGACCCAGGCAGTAAAGCCAAGCTCAGTGCTGCTTCTGAAGAAGAGCTCCGTGAAAAGGTACAAGAGCGGTACCAGGGCGTACGCCTGCAGGGGGAAAGGCTAGTTTCCGGCTCTGACGACTTTACTCTTTTTCTGTGGAGTCCGGAGACTGATCGCAAGTCCCTCTGTCGCATGACTGGCCACCAGCAGCTCATCAACGACGTCAAATTTTCTCCTGATGGCCGCCTCATTGCCAGTGCATCTTTTGACAAATCAATCAAACTTTGGGACGGCAAAACTGGAAAGTAAGTACAAGTTATATTTATAAGTTGAAAAGGTGAAACTTAACAGAAAAATGACAATGAAATTAATGTTTGCATTATTTTTGTGACAGGTATGTAACCTCCTTGAGGGGCCATGTCAAAGCGGTATATCAAATATCGTGGTCTGCTGATAATCGACTGCTAGTGAGCGGCAGTGCTGACTCCACACTCAAAGTGTGGGACGTCCGTAAGGGAAAGCTGATGTGCGACCTGCCTGGGCACGCTGATGAGGTAAATGTACAGATAGTTCGGTGTACAATGTTTGCTGACTGGGGTTTTCTCTCTAACTAAAGGTGTTTGCTCTCGATTGGAGTCCCGACGGAGAAAGAGTTGTCAGTGGGGGTAAAGATAAGATTTTAAAAATGTAAGTAGTAATGGATTGTGTTGATAGTAGAGATTATAATGATCTGTTTTCAGATGGCGAAAATAAATTAATGTCCATTGATGAGTCTATTCTTCAAGTCATTGATTTCCGAAGTCAAGAACTCGACTGTTTAAAGAAAAATTTTTTTAAACAAATAAACAATTGGTGTAATCATAAAATACCTTCCGAGAGATGTTTAGAAAGGTCTGCATTAGCATTAGTCAATTGCTCGTTGAGCATTATGTTTCTAGCTTTTTGCGCCACCAGTTCTCGCTGTGCCTCTTGATACTTTTGCTCAAGCGAGTGGCCAATCTTTAAGGGAAAAAGTGAAGCCTTTTTTAAAGCGACCATTAGTTGTTGATTCGGAATGCGTAATGAGGATTCTGATACATACCTTGCGCTTGTTTAGTTTGTCATCTGACTGCTGCGTCAAATACTCAATCAGCTTCATCTGCTGAGCAGTTGTCTCGTCATATGTATATTTTCGTTGATGCAGTTCTGCTTCCTGCATTTCAAAATACTTTCGCAGCTCATGGTTAGTAGTCCGAAGCGCTTTTTCATGGGCGTCCGCAATGTAGAGTTGCTCTTCAAGTTCGCCCTTTTCTTTTTTAAGCTCATAAATTTCGCTAATGTATCCCGAAGCCTCTTCCTTAATTTTGACCAGTTGTTCATTGATGATGGCATTGTCCTGTTCAAGGCGCTTAATAATACTATTGCTGTCCTCAAGATTCGCCTCGAGCCAGGCAACCTTGTCCTCCAGTCGGCTAACACTGTCCTGCGCCATTTCAAGATCGTTCTGCAAATTTTGAATTCGGTTTTTTTCATTGGTGAGCATTATCTTTAACTCGTGCTCCTTGTTAGTCAGCTTATTTAAGATGTTTTCCTTCTCCGAGTAAATCTGATTGTACTTCTGATTAGCCAAATAGAGTTCATTTTTCAAGTGGCTCATCTCATCGGTGATGGAGTACTGTTGCTGTTGCAGATTCTTCTTAGCACTGCTCGCGTTAGTGAACTTTTGACTAAAGCTCTCCACCTGCACTTCCAGCTCGCTGCAAACCTTTTTAAGAGCCTCATGAGACTTTTTCAGTTTGCTTTTCTCTGAAATCACATTGTCCAGTTCGGTGTCCTTTCGCTGAATCTCAAGTCGAAGAGCGGCGTTTTTCCGTTTAATGGATTCAATTTCCAAGAGGAGTATTTGGTGCTTCTTTTCAAACTCGGTGCACTTGTCTTTCCACTTCTTTTCATTAAACTGGAGATCCTTTATTTCCTGAAAATAGAAACAAAAAATGTCAGTCACAAGGCGAAACTAGAACGATGCTGGTTTATTCAGTTCGTAACAAAATAAGTATAGAAGTTTTTGTAAGGGAGACTAAAGTTAGAAATTAGTATTCAGATAAATGATGCAAAATTTAACATGCAAATTAGAAATAGAGAGACTTAAAAAAGCTCAACTTTCAATAGAAAAATCAACTGTCGGAATATCTAAGCAATAAGGAAAACCAAAGACCTTTAGTTTCATTTCCAAATTTTTGATATTTTCATCCATGTTACAGTTGAGTTTCTGTGGAGGAGAAAGTAGTGATAAATCTAAAATTTACATTTTCAACAACTTACCAATATTTCGCTGTCTTTGTTTTCAAGAGCATGTTTATTCTTTTCAAGTTCCTGCTGGAAACGTTCTTTCTCTTGCAAGTATTCAGTGCTTTCCTTTTTCTCATTTTCAATAAAGCATTGCAATTCAGAAACCTTAGACTTGTACTTGGCAAGTTCGCCGCGCAAATAATTGCAAACATCAGTCTTTCTATTGAGATTCTTTTTGGTGAGCTCGAGTTCCGATTTAATCTCCACAAGTTCGTCACCATGATCTACAGCCAGATCTACGGTGGGTTCTATTTTGTCAGCTTTCTCAGCTTTCTCAGCGTTGTCAGTTTTGACTGTTTTGTCAAACTTGATCTTTTCATACTTTGACTTCCATTTGGCTATCTCAAGCTTGTGTTTGTCGACTAGACGAGAAATTTGCTGTTGGTGATGATCGCGAAGCTTTTTTGTATTGCGGTCGTATGCCTCCTGAAGTTCGTGGACCACACTGAGAACCTCTTTTTCACGCTTATTGTTGTTAATAACTTCGTCATCGATTTTACGCTTGATAGCGCTTTCTCGAGAGTTGGAACTTTCGATTTGCTTCTGTAGGCGATCAAAGTGTCCTTGGACAGCGTCATTGTACTTGACACATTCACCGATGTAGCGATCAAATCGCTGAAAATCTGCGCCAAAAATTTCTGATTCCTCGGTGGGCAAATCAATCACCATTTCTGGCGGATCCTTGGAGGTCATTTCAGACAGAGTTTTTGGCAGCGTTTTGGAGGCATCCTTGGACGGCTTTTCTGGCGACGGGTCACGGTTCTTCACCTTGGCTTGTTGGGCTTTCTGTTGTTTTTTCGGTTTGACCATGGTGCCGAGTATGAGAAGGACACACAAAGTGGGAAGAAATTCAGCAGGAAATGCTGGATCAAGTCGAGTCGGTAGAAAGAACCAGAAAGCGGCGTGGAGATGTTTCGCGGCGTGAGTATGACAGAAGAAGCGTGAATGAGTGGCGGTTGAGGTGGCAGCGAGGCAAAACTGTTTTTGATTTCGGTGGCGACCCGACGGAGCCTTTTGATTGGCTGGCGCTTTTAAAGTGCTTTCTGTCAGCCAGCGGGGACACCTAGCGGCAGAACGGAGACAACGTTTACAGGACAAACGGCAAAAAACATCATTCTTATCTGCATATGGACCGGTGTGTCATTTCCCGCCACTAAGATTCAACTAGGAACGTCTATCTCTCAAGTTCAAGTTTAATTGATCTGTCAAATGTCAATTTGAGATTCAGTGACTGTTGAATGAGAATTCAGTGGTGTACGCCATTTGGTGTCCACTAATGAGGGTTGCCGTACAACTACTGCTGATATATGCTGATAAGAAAGCCAATTAAGTGTGCACAAGACTGGACGCCCAGACAATGCATGCACTCAGACAAACAACTCGCAGCGGTCGGTTTCGGACCAACACATGGCACCCTCCTCCGAAGCAGCTGTCAACACCTGCATTTGAACGCCTGTTGTCCCCCTTGGTTGTACCCCCTCCTCCTCTCCACTGTCTTCTTCTCCCACCGGTACTTCCAAATGAAGAAGTGGGCGCCGGGTCTGACGCCTTCTGCGACGCGCAGTCTGCCCGGTCCATCGGTTTCCAGTCAGTCAGTCTCCTCCACTGTGCTCTTCTTTCTCGCGCGCGTCCATTAGAAACAAAGTAGAAACAAAGTAATGCATGGACAAGTCGGCAGAGAGAGACGCTAAGCGCGCGAGAAGACGGCGGCAGCGGCTGCAACATTATTTCAGCTGTCTCCCTCTCTCTCACTCACTGTTCGTGTTCCAGGAGCCAAAAAGAGCTGCTTTAGTTTTTCTGCAAAGCTGGCGGAGCTTAGACTGTGTGTAGGTGCACTTCCACTCGACCACTTGGCCGAAGCATCCAGCGGACAGTGAGAGTCCCGCCTGCATTTGACGGCGCGCACTACCACGGGTGAATGAGGCAGACTAGAGCGAGCGAGCGAGCGAGCGAGTGAGCGAGTGTAGCTGTAGTGCCCATGGTGGCCTGTGGTGCCTGTCCTGCTCCCTGCTCAGCTGCCTGCCACTACCACCGCTGGCTGACGAGCGGCAAGCGCCGATGTTGTCCTAATGGCTGCAACTGTGGCACTCTCGTTGGCGTCTCCTCTCCTCCGATGATCGGATTTGGTCTTCTCTTTCACCACCGCCACCACCACCACCACCACTGTGCACTCTGTCTGTGCCAAGCGACAGATCGCATCGAATCCGCTCGCATCAACCAAAACTGCCTCGAACCTAGCACACCTCTGGCTCCATCGGCGGCAGCATCGGCAGCAGCACCACCAACCGAGGTGGAACTTCATCCTTCGCCCGGCGTCATCAACCCGACGGCGAATCACTTCGATAACTGCTACCGCTTGAAGGCGGCCTCCAAACTTTGACTCGCTTGACACTATCAGCTCTCTCTCATCTCTCCATTCTCGTCTCCTCTTTCCCTCTCCGATCGCTGTGCACAACAACAATTGAACTGCTGTTCAGAAGAGTGTCTCTGTATCCAATGAGCGGCTTCAACAACTTCACTGTGCCGCTTTGATTTGCTCTGCTGCTGTTGTTGATACAACATCAATCGACAGCCAGGCACAGTGCCCTGTGCACAACACAACACACACTTACAGACAAATCTGCCGCGACGGCAATTAACTGATCTTCTGACCTGCACCGTTCTCTTCTCTCCTTTCTTCTGCCTTCTCACCTACTGCAATCTCATCGGAATCGCATTCTCCCCTGGCATCTACTGCATCTTCGTGTCTCGCACAATGCACTGTTAGACCATGGCCACATCGATCACCACAACAGCAAACCCAACATGACTCAGTCGTCGTACTTTTTGACCAACGGCTCAAGCCTAGAAGATTGTCACACGAGTTTCTTCGATTTGGTAAGTCCTTGTTTACCTTCCCCCTTTTCAGCCTTCCTAACGACAGGCATCTGATTTTACCCACTCCGCTGATTAGGCTGATTTGTGTGGCATCAAGTGGAGAACATATTTCTCTGATGTGCACAGCAATGAACTTGTTGAAGATCCTGTATTGCACTCCTACTCAAGGTGTATCAATGCCAACATTTTATGTGTCTGGCGGAGAGTCCGCAATACTCGAAATCAGAACCAGAGAAACGGTCATGATAGCAATTATGTCAGCTACACAAAAGAACTGTGGATATTTTGGTACGGTGAAGCGCCGGACTTTTCCGAACTTATTGTCAGCAACCTTAAGCGTAAGTTAAAATCTGTATTACAACAGAAAAAACAGTTTCTAATTACGGTTATTTGAAATTCTAGTGAAAGATGAACTGGATGGTTCGTGGGAAAGCGGCCTTTCATACGAGTGTCGGACGTTGTTATTCAAAGCGTTGCATACTTTGATAGAAAAGTAAGTGTTACCGAAGATGCCTTTATCGCTATGGAAAACTACCTATTTTTGGCCGTGATAACTAACAAGTGTGCTGCTCTTTGTCCTACAGGTGCTTGCTATCTAAAGGCTTCTCAAGACTTGGAAAATGGTTCTTTCAAGTAAAACAGGCACAGGATGCTGCCGCCAAAGGCAGAAGGTATGTGTATTTTATTATTTTCTGAAATCTCTATATTCAAAAACTAATTCATCTGTTACATCTGAAATTTTCAGTGATAAACCGAATGACGACACTGTGGTTACTTTTACTTTCAACTTTTTCCTCCACGGTGATAGTACTGTTTGTTCAAACATTGATGGACAGCAACACTCAAACGTCTACATGATATCAAGCGAAGACCTGCATGCTGCACAATCAACTCCTGAAGGATTACGAGGTACTGTCTATCAATGTTTTAAAGCATATTTTTGATGCAAACTAACCGATTCCACATTTTGCACCATTTCAGTGATACTTGCTCCTTACGGGCTGCAGGCATACTTGACTGGTCATGTGTACAAAGATAGTGATCAATCAGTACAAAAGTTCTTAGCCGATTGGAAGAAAATCTACCCACTTAACTTAAAGAACTCAAAGGAAAACGGTGGCTTGAACATTTCTTCGCCTTTCAACTCGCTTAGCGATGATAAAAAAGTATTGTCTGAAGATGATTACTTAAATAAGGTTGTCGAAATTATCATCGGTGATTGTAAAATGAAATACCCATTCTGCTACGTGTTCATCACTGAAATCGACCGAAAAATGTATCAGCTTCGGCCGCAGAAAACTGATCCAGCAGCCAAAAGTTTCAACCCTCACGAGACATTAGCTCAGCTGTACAAACAGTCAGAGGAGTCTCTAGAAAACTGCCAGTTGATGGTATCGTACAATCAACAATTGCCCAGTGACTCGTATTGCCTGAAGAGTAACACCAACCAGACAATTACTCAATGTGATTCAATTTTACATGATAAAGTCAGCTCAACCCGTGATGACGGCTCAAGTGAGTTCGCCAACACTTCGATCAACGGAGAACTGTTGTTGAAAAAGTCATGCAACTGTCCGAAATGTCAACAATCCAACTTGAAGAAGCAGTTAAAGTCGAGCAATGGTATTAATGGGTTGTCTTCCTCATACAATCAGTTCTCTGGGAAAAGCAAAGACCGCAGCTTTGAAAAGGAGCGTGCCAAACAGCTGAAGAACTGCCCGCCCTTTCACAAGAGGGCAGAGCTGAGTTTGAAGCCAGATGAGGAGTTTATCATTTCATCAACCAGTTCCTTGATGCAGTCGCAGACGTCCGTCTCCTCGCCTGTGAACAGCAACGTCAACATGAGCTCTAGCAGCCTGAACCAATCTAGTGCTACTCCAATCATTATGTCGTACAAAAGTCCCGTCAGTACAAGCACCTCGTCCATTCTTAATACTCCCGGAATCGAGTCATCGCCCTTGTCCAACTTTAACTGTGACGCGGGCGAACACACTTCACCTCTTACTTCCAAAGAAGAAAGTGCATCTATCAATACGCCAGTCACACTTTCCAGTCAGCTGAATCAAAGTCCAAAAGATAAAAGTGGCCTTAGTTCATCCTTATCACCTGCTGTCGACCACGCTACGCTCGGTAACACCGTTGACAACTTGAATGGCGGGGGAAAAAGTGTCGAACATTCAGCTATGCCCGACAATGCTGATTCTGGGGCAAAGTCGGAGGCAACGATGGTCACATCTCAAATAGCAGGCCCTTTTGCGGAAAATGCCAGTGAAAAATGCGCTCTTCCTTTGAAACGACCATTCCTCTACAGAAATGTCTACGATGGAGAGCACGACCTTCGTCACGGTCTTCTCTACGACTTTCGCTGCGAGTCTGATCAATCATGGCAGTTACCAATGCCTAAAAATCGGCGCATCAACGAAAACTCACTCAACAATGGCTTTATGCTTGACTTGAACGGTCGAGACTATGCCGACTTCAATCCATTCATCAATTCCATTCACGAGCTACCTCATTTTAAAAGCAAAGACCCCTATGTTTTTGAGAATGATATTGAAGACATGGGCATTGCAGCTTCCAAGCAGCACTACGACCCTTCCATTGAGTCAATGACTGTCACGGAGAGAAGTTTGACTGAGCTGCTCAACGGGACCATGGAGCAGCAGCCGATGAGCAGCAGCAGCAGCAATGGCAATGGCAACAACCATGGCAAGCTGGCCAAGTCAAAGGAAAGCAATGATCTTACGAACCACCACAGCAAGGCTCTTTCAAATGCCAAATCTGCATTTTCTCGCAGCGACGACGACTTTGCCAATACCTTCAGTGATCTCGAGTTTTTCAACTCGTCAGGCGATGAAAGCAATGATAACTTTCAAGCACCTCTCACGCCGAAAAACTCCAATGGCCCTCACACCGTTCCTCATATCCCCGATTCAGACTCATACGTTTCCAACTCCATCAACGAGTTGTCTCGCATGTTCCCTACGCCGCCTTCACTTGAAGCTATGCAAGCGTCTCCCGGTAATAACAACAACTCTCACATTGTTTCTGCGGAGTCTAAAAATGAAGGTGCTGCGCAAGAACCTGCTGACAAAAGCAAAGAACAAAGTGCTCCAAAACCAGTCGTGGAAGAGTTGAGGGTAAGCTTTGACTTTTTTAATTTTTGTTCAGTTTTAATTTTTCTTTTAAATACCTTTAGGACTTTTCATTTGTGTACAAGCCTCCAGTGCAATCATCCTTCATTACCTCAACAAATTACGCTCCTCTAGAAAGTGTTGATTGCAGGCAGAGTTTGCCATCGCATTGCTTCTACAAACACAACACCAGCAAGAAGCAGCAACAGCAAACTGTAAAGTCATTTGGCTTGGGATCATCACAGAATCAATCTCAGCTGATTCCCTCTCTAATGGCGGGCAAATCAAAGTTTATGCAAGGCGTCAAGGGACTGGGCGGTTTTCCCGGTCAGATGATTCGTAACGTTAGACCACCTGGCCAGAATATGCCCGGTTTCGGCGCTTCAGGATTCATCAATCGGCCTCGGCCTCCACTGGGCATGCAATCACAAATGTACAACTTTCCATCTGATAACTTTGGAGGCAACTTCAGACAAAACTCACCTGGAATGAGCATGGACGGCTCATCGATGTCCCCCATCACGCCCGGTTTCATTTCAAGTCCACTTCCTAATTTCGATAACCGCAAGTCACCATATTCATTTCATCAAACAATGTCACATAACTCCCCATCCAATTCAAACGCATTCATGTCCAACTCTCCTCTGAACACCTTCAACAGTATGCAACAAAAGTCAACAATGTCTCCAATGGTGGGCTCCTCCAACTTCTTCAACATGAACATGGGTTCGAGCAATGCTATGGAGAGCAGCATGAACACCGCTGCAGCGTCTGCGCCTCATAACGAAGTGAATGCCCTCATGTTGAACCTCCTTCTCTCCGACTCAATGTTCAACCTGTTTCGCGACCACAACTTTGAGAGCTGTTCAATCTGCGTCTGCAATATGAACATCAAGGGCAACGATGTGGGCATCTATCTGCACGATCCATCGCCTCAACCAGATTACTATCCGTGCTCCTGTGGTTTCAGTGCTCTCTCAAATAGGCACTTGAGTCAGTTTTCAGGCCTTTTTTATGAAGATGAAGTTGAAATAACCGGAGTGTACTACGATCCATCAGAGAAGGCCATCTTATCTGAAAACTCTGCCGATAACAACGGACTGTTCGATAAAGACCTGACGAAAGCTTTCTCTGAAGTTGATGATAATTTAATTGATTTAGTCATCTCAATGTCCACCACTATCTACCCTTCCAGCTCAACCTTTGCAAAGATTATCAACTGCTTTCGACGGCCAGAACTGAAATCGTTCAACTTAAAAGAGAATTCTATGCGTCTTTTTGAGCGGGACTCTCTGAAGCTAGTGTACAAGGACTGTACTGACGTTGTCTTGCAGTCCATGGTGATGACTAGGAGTGACGCTGCCGCCAACGTAAAGCCCAATCTGCTGCTGACGAACAATCTGCAGAATTTGTCAGTGAACAATTCCTCTCGACCTGTCTTGCACGACTGGTCATTCCGTCACTCAAAGTATGCGGTGAATAACCACGAAGTGATTTACCTGCTCAAGACTTTGCAGCCGCTGTTGCAGGAGGCTGTTCAGCGAAAGGGCTCAGCTACAGGCAGCGAGGTGACCTACAACTCAGTCAAAGGGCCCCTCACCTGGCGGCAGTTTCACCGACTCGCCGGTCGAGGCTCTGGAGAATATCAATGCGAACCACAGCCGATTCCGTCGCTGTTGGCTGGCTACGACAATGACTGCGTCGTAGTGTCGCCGTTTGCACTAAAGTTCTGGGAGAAGCTGTCTCTCGAGCCATACGCCATGACCAGAGATGTTGGCTACATCGCCCTCGTGCCCGACAATGAGTACATCATTTCCAAAGCGAAGAGCTTTCTAAATGACCTGTCCACAACTTATGAAGTGCTGCGCTTCGGTGACCACTTTCCAATTCGAAAAGTGTGCAAAGACGGCATTTATGTGGTAGGCCAAAACGCTGTCAAGAAGAGCGACTCTGTGCCTCTAGATGAGTGGTTCAGCACTCTGGGCGAAAGTAATCTGGCAACGAAGATTAAACACTACGCTCAGGCCTGCTGTAATCTCGCTCCAAACTTGTCTGTCTACGAGAGAAGCCTGTTTGAAGCACCTAGCACCTCAAAGAGCTTTTCGGAAGTGCCCAATTCTGCAAACGCCTTTAGCGGCAATGCCAGCAATACATCGATGAATGGAGGCATGTCGAATAGCTCCTTCATGTCGAGCAGCTCATCGTCCATGTTTGGTGGAGCAAACTCACAACGGCCTTCAAACAGCTTTGGCCATGTTTCCAGCTCAACAGAGAGTCCAATTGAGCGACTTCTCAATGAAACCGAGAGCACTCTTAGTGGCAGTAGCAGCAACAACAATAACAACAACGGCGGCGGCAACACCAACAGCCTTAGTGCAGGTGATTCGAGTGTCTGTTCAATAGCAGCTGCATTGGAGCCATTTGAGGAGGAGGATGACGTGCACAACTTCCCGAGCATTGTCATCTACATCATCGACCCCTTCACCACTTCGGGAAAGGAGGCATCCAGGCTGGGATGTATCGGCTTGCTGAAGTCATTCGCAAACATGCTCAAGTTTATACCGGAGAATGTGCGAAATAATGTGCACGTGCAGCTGCTTTCAATCGACTCCATCATTAGCGAAGACAGAGACTTTCGAAATGCTACACGAAATAGCCAGATGAAGGAGCTGGCATTTTCCGTCTTTTCGCAGTGCAAACAGCAGCTAGTCTTCCAGCCCAACATTAAAAGTTTGACTGGATTAGGCCCGGCTGCCTCCTTTGAGGTGTTCCTCAAAGGCAAAGACAAGCTCTACAACAGTACGCAGCTCTACACGTCGCCGTTCATTTTGGCGCCTCTCAAGGACAAGCAAACTGAACTGGGTGAGATGTTTGGCGATCGCCGGGAAAAGTCGCAGATTCTCTTCTGCTGCTACTGCATAAGTGAAGATCAAAAGTGGCTTCTGGTCTCCTGCACCAATGATAGAGGGGACATTTTGCAGAGCAAGATGATCAACGTTCATGTGCCCAACCGAACTCGTCGGAAGAATGCCACCGTTCGTCGATTCGGCCTAAACAAACTGATGAACTTTGTTCAGACGGTCATGTCCGAGTCGGTGCTGCCTTGGCGGCTAGTCGTGGGCAGACTGGGACGAATCGGACACGGCGAGCTGAAGGACTGGACATCGCTGCTGAGCAAAAAGTCGCTGCAAAAGTACAGTCGTCAGCTGAGAGACCTGTGCTCGCAGTGCCACGACCTGGGCCCCCACGACCAGCCAGCCATCTACTCGGCATGTCTCATTTCACTGGAAGCCGACACGGCACTGCGCGTCTTTCCCAACTACTACACACCTGATGAACGGTTCAGCAGCTCCTGTAACACCTGCGGTCTGAGCACACCTGAGGACGCCTCTTGCACCCACATTCTGGTGTTCCCCACTTCAGCCACCACGCAGTCAAGTCATGCCAACTTCAACATGGACATTGGGGCCAATCTTCCAGAGGAGTTTGACTTTGGCAATCTCGACGATTCAGATATTCCGGTGGAGGATGATTTTGACTTGGACAACTTTTGGGACGTCCCTTTCGACGATGAGCCCCGTCGAGATGAACCAGCGCCAGGCAGTCCGGGAAATAGGCAGCAGTTTGGTTCTCAGAGTCTTAAGGTAAGTTTATTCAAGAAGCTGTAGTTTTGGAAAGCACATTAAATTGCTTTGCTTATATTTAGAATTCCAATCCATTGGATGATCAAGACGAACCAGCTCAACTGCTGCAGCAGCCGCTTGCACTTGCATTTTACGTCTCCACGGCGCGCACTGGCCCTCTCCCCAGGTGGTTCTGGACCAACAGCCCACACTTGGAAAACTCATGTCCAGTTTTCCTAAAGGTAAACACCGACTTTCTCTTGGCTGATGAATTAATTGTAAATTAACTCATTTATCTTTCCACTATTTACCGTCCAGTCCGCTCTGTTGATTCATACTCCGTTTGTGCAACAAAACACCGATGACCTTCTGCATTCGAACAATCGTGACTGCCATTCTCTTGACTCCAGCTTGACCACTGACGTCCTAAGGTTTGTTTGTTTTAACGACCCTCCTTTTATTTTGTTTACTATTGTTTACTAACTTGGTGATTTACCTTTAGGTGCGTTCTCGAAGGCTACAACTCCTTGTCCTGGCTGGCATTGGACTCGAGCACCAATGACCGACTGTCTTGTCTGCCGTTGCACATTCAAGTATTAATGCAGCTCTATCACAGTGTTCAGGCCTTAATTTAGCTTCCAAGAAAAAGCAACACCAGTCGCAACACATCGCCTCCCTTTCCTCATTGACAAACAAAATCAGCCAATCGACTTACTATTGATTTATTTATTATTTATTTCTACAGCATCTGTTGTTTGTTTCTTATTTACCACAATATCACCTACTCGCTCTGTACATATGGCAGCACCGCACTTCATTTTACACCCTACTTCATTTCGCCTTTGTAAAATTAATGTAAATCACCCAATTCTATACAAAATCATCATCATCACCTTGAGGCACATTATTTGAGCCTTCTGAGCCGGAACTCACTTGCTTCTTCAAAGCTTATCTTCCTTCCTTTCCTCCCCTTCCTTTTCCACTGATGCTCACCCTGCATGCTCTTCCGACCCAGTTGACCACACAGTTGACACACAGACACACCACTTTTTGATACTCTTACCATTTTGGCACAACTACTGGTATATATTCTCATGTAATTATCTGTACATACCATTTACTTGACTATTATATTTCAATTTATTATGAAAATAAATATTTATTATTATGAACTGCTGCTTTCAGCATTCTTTTTGGCCTGCACCTCTTCAATTGAGCGAAAATACTTTCGCATAACTCTTCCGTACTGTTCATGTAAGTCTAGAAATGTGACCGTCTGTACGGGTTCTTGTTCTACGCAGTCAAACGGGTTGATGCGGCGTGATGAAGTGACACTTTCAGGGGAAGTTTCCTTTTTGATCTCACTAGTGATCATTGAGTCGCGCAGCTTAAGCGCGTTTAACTCATCAAGTCGATGCTGTAGCTCTGAAACGACCATCTTTAGGTAGTCATAGGAGGCACAACTGAGTGATTTGACCCACCTAAAACGATTAAATAAGGATTGGTAAAAGAGTTCTGCTTTTAGAGGAAAAATAACTTACTTCTCCATATCAACTTGATTCTCTGCAGCAAATGTGTATGATTTAAGTTGAAGGCCATACTGGCTGGTTCCGAAATCTAATTTAAATGCAAACAAGTTTTCTCTGCCACTGTTCTCCACAATCTCCACCCGGTACCCCTCAAGGATGATTGCACCAAGCGGTTCTTTGGACGCATTCGGTTGGCCATGGTCGTAGTAGAAGAATATGTTCTCCTTCAAAACACACCAGCATTTTTGGAACGTTCGCTTATCCTTCTTCTCCTCATTAAACTTCAACAGCCATCCTGATTGGTCTACGGGATTTTCCGTCGATTGGGCGATGTGCACTAAAGTGCGCTCATTGAACTTCATCCTTCATGTACTCGAACTTCACAGTGAACACAGCGAACACGTTTCGTAATATTATCAATGATTATGTTGAGAAGATGCAAATTATAAAAGAATATCACATGATTTGGGAAGATAAAAACAGGCCGAACTGGCGTTTCCTGATGGAAAGGTGAGTGTCAATTTGACACCAGACGATCTGGCAAGTTTTGTTTTGTTTTGACTTATGCATCGCTCCCTCCGATGGCTCCCTCTGATGATTTGCAGAGTCATTGGGGCAACCGTGCAATGAGTTCAAACACTTGGAAACCAAAGTTTATCTAGTAAAACTTTTATAATTCGAAATGGCGACTTTGTAAAATAGGGACTTACAAAGAATAAATAAACTAAAATAACAATATATTTTACAAGAAAGAAACAGAAGGAAATACAGAATAAAAGAATTGCAATTCTTAGAAAGAAAGGGCTGAATCGTAATCTTGACTAAGAGAGTGTTTGTTTTAACTGGGTAAATTTCAAACTTGCCATTGCAAATGCTGGAACAGTCTAAAATTGAGTATTAGAAAGTGAAAGTGTGTTTGTAAATGAAGAGTTACATCTGACAGTTCTATGTACAGTAGAAAAGATTATAGCTGCTGACGGTGGTTGGGGAGATTGTGGTGGGCATTATTGCTAAGGACAAAGAATGAGGGTCTGCAGCATGAGGGGTGATCCGTCAAAAGTGCTGCAGTGACTCGTTGCTGACGAAGGAGTCGAGATCAAGGGCAGACGCGACCAGAGTGGACTTGCACTCACTCTGCCATTGCTGGTGTGAGCTGCTGTGAGTCTCGAAGTTGGTCGGACTGGCCGAGTTGCTGTTCATCATCGAGACGCCCCCATCGAGAGGACTGGTCACTGCCAGTGAGCTGCAGCTGTTCATGGGCACTGCTGTCACTGCAGTGGATGCAGAGAGAATGTGCTGCTGTTGTTGCTTGCTGACTGCGTTCAGTGTGAGCGGCGCCGAGTTGATGGTCATCAGGGTGGTTGTGCCGTTGCTGTTCAGGTAGGAGACCGTCTGCTGTGGACTGCTGCTGGTGGCCACCGACAACGAATCGTGGTCGAGTTGGCTGAGAATCAACTCAGCCTCAGTGCGACCACCATCAGCATTACTACCACCACCAGCACTGCCTACAATAGCAGCATTCCCACCGCAGCAGTCCAGTGACATTGCCCCGTCTGCAGCAGTGGCAGTGTCAGTGTGGACGGTGTGACCGTACTGCGGCCAGGCACTCCACTGTGCCGTCATGTTGGCGTCATTGATGCAGGTGACCACGTTGGAGGTGGCCGTCAGTACATTGCTGGAGTGGGCCGTCTCAAAGGTGATGCCCTGCAGGGCATTCGAGTGGTAGAAGAGCTGCTGGTCCTCGAGCAGACCACTGCTGGCGATCATGTCCAGATCGTGCGGCTCGACGGCAGTCAGCTGTGCCGTCGTGGAAGTGCAGCCGTTCTTCTGTGAGCCACCGCCACCGCCTGTCAGATCTGCCTCGGTGATCTGCGGAATGATCTGCGAGACCGAATCCACTGAGTACGGGTCGACCAGGTCGTTGAGGTCCGCTTCGGTGAGGATGGCATTCCAGCAGATGTCATTGCCGTCCGACTCGATCAGACAGTCGCCGGCGGCGGTGGCTCCGCTGATGCACACCTCAGTGGCGTATCCGTGCACCAGACTGCCCGCCTCACAGTCCACCAAATTGGCAGACTGCAAAGTGTACGCATAGGTGCAGCCATTGGGCTCGATGCTGTTCACGGCGTTTACGAGTTCACTTGCTTCATTCACCGCCTGGGCAAGTGCGGAGGAGGAAGAGGAGGAGAGGGAAAGGGAAGGGGGCAAAGAATATGGTCAATCAGTCATCGAAAATCAATACCGAGTGGATAGAGTGGCCCCCTCACTGTTGGCACTGTGCACTCTACCCAGCCCCCANGGTGCGGAGGAGGAAAAGGAGGAGAGGGAAAGGGAAGGGGGCAAAGAATATGGTCAATCAGTCATCGAAAATCAATACCGAGTAGATAGAGTGGCCCCCTCACTCTTGGCACTGTGCACTCTACACAGCCCCCACCATTCCATGCCATTCTGCTCAACCTACCTCTTTGTAGCTGTACGACTCTGCCGAGCTAGGCGGCGTTTCCTGCTGTACCTTGATAACATCTATATAGTTGATTGTCTCATTCTCCGAAAGGGAGCTCTTCTTGCGACTCTGTGGCAGAAAACGAGAAAAACATTAGTGGCACTGGCACGTCTAACACACACACACACTACCCATCCCCAACTAGCTGACAGCAGTCGATGCTCACCTTTTTCTTGTTCACTTTGGCCTCTCCATTGGCGTTGGTTGCGGCACCAGTCGCCGCTGCAGCACTGACAGCCGAAGCACCTTTGCCGGCGCCGCCGCCACTGTTGGGTCGTTTCTTCTTGAAGACTCCGTCGACTAGTGAGTCCTCGTAGACGGGGTCGAGCTTCCAGAAGCCACCCTTGCCTGGTTCATCCTTTTGGCGCGGCACCTTGATGAAGCATTTGTTCAGTGACAGATTGTGCCGAATTGAGTTCTGTGCAAATAAAAAGTGAAAACAATTTGGAGTAGTTTCAGTTAGTTGGCTGAGTCAGAGGATGGAACCAGTGGGCGAGGGCGAGACTCATTAGTGGTAGTTGTAGAGCGGAATTGCAGCAGCCAGCAGCTATTGCAGTATTTCACCGTGGCACACTATCCAGTGATTGCGCCCATCGGGCGCCTTCAAGTGGCAATTTCAGCCATCGCTTCCTCTTTTACCTCTTTTTACCCAACTCATCTGCAATCTCTTTCCGCCATTCTTTCCTTCTCTCCGCTTTGCTATCAGTAGAATAATGAGCCCTTCTGACTGAGGCTGATTCTGCCGCTTTCCTAAATGAGTTTCATTATTAATAATAGTAGCAGAAAATGCTCAGTAATTGGCAGATGCGAGTATGAGTAAGTGCTCGGGCAAGTGCAGGTAGTGCACGACAGAGTAGTAGTACCAGTGCTGTGCTGTGCCTTTTCCATTTGGAAATCGCATCCAGAGAAAGTGAAAGAGAGAGAAAGAGAGAGAGAGAGAGAGAGAGAGA